GATTTCAGGTACTTACCACCCACCCATACACAAAAGTTATATGAGAANTTTTTTTTTTTTACCATAGTAAAAAATAAAAAGAATGTGGGCATATGAGTTACTTTCTTTGACCTCCCTTCTCACAAACAATACCAATGGCTTGCAAATTTTCTTAGGCAGCAAACTCATTCTTCAAAGAAAGTTTTATGGGAGAATGAATGTTAAAAAAAAAAAAGAAACTGAAAATGGAGTACTAGCTGGAGGGGGACTAAACTTCTCAGTCTGGGTCTCTCCTCCTTGTTCTCCGGCCTACCCCTGAGCCCGCTGAGGAGTCCTAGGTCTGCAGCAGGTGAGCTTGGAAATCAATGCTGTGTCCTCCATAAAGAAATGTAGACGGCTTCTCAGTGCACTGTTAGGAATTAATCAATAATGGTAGAGCTTTACCTGTCTAAGCCCTACAATCTATCTAACCATTTACTATAAGTAATGATTAAGTGAACCCGAGAGGAGGTATTTTATCTGTTTCCATGAAGAGAGTTCATGGATGTAATAGAGGGGAAAAGAAAGCATCATTTTCTGCTGCGTTCACTAACCCCAGAGTTTAGCACGTGCTCAATAAAGATATGCATAAATGATTACATTCCAGAAGAGACCCAAGCTCTAGGAAAGATATATCTAGAAAAAAAAGTGTATTATTTATTAATTCATTCAAGATAAATGATTTCTTTAGCATCAACTATATTCCAGTCAGTTGTACACACTAGTGATAAAAACATAAATCAGTTTCTATGCAGAAGGAGCTCAGTGTCTGGTATGAGAGACATGTTTCAGCAGATCATTCTAAAAAAACTGTGGGAAATGCAAGGATAATCATGCACAGAATGTTATGGCAGGGCCAGACCCGCTGAGGAGGCGCTAGAGAAGGTTTGCTGAAGTAAGGAGAGAAGAGCTAGTAGGCCAATGATGGAGAGAAGATTGGCTGGCAAGCCCTACACATGAGTGCATGTGAGGGAACCTTGGAATATTGGGACCACAGAACATACAGAGAAAGAGAGAAATGGGAAAGATGAAGCTGAAGATCTGGGTCCTGCTGAGTCTGTGCATGAGTAGGGCTCTGACTTTGCCTGGCCTCTTTCATCCATCCTAGGGAACCTCCAAGTGATACTTCCATGAAAACTCAGAATTCTGTAATCCATAGTGTACTTGTACTCCATGCAGTATACAGGGAAAAAGAGCAAAGAAGGTGGCTAAAAAGAAAAAGCAAGGAACATTTCACTTCCTCAATGGAAGCAACCATTAAAAAAAAAAAAATCACAACAGGACATTTTCCCATAGAAGGCTGATTTCCTTGGCCTCCAGAAGGCCTGATCCCCAGGTCTCAGATCAGTCCCTTCAGTTACTCTCAGTACTTTCTATTCTTGCGACATGTCACTTCCCAGCTCTCTTTAATAAAGACATTCACTTATGATCCCATTTTCTTACCAAACATTAGAAAACTCAGGCATCATTTCTCTGCAGGGCACTACAAACACCTGAGTGATCTTCCTCTGGTCTGAACAGGTGGGCAGTGATGGGGGGTGGTGCTCTCAGAGTTTGAGTCAAATTTCTGGCTCTAAGCGAGGGACTTCTTGGTACCACTTTTCCTTTCCTATATGAACAGTCACAGCTAAACATCAAACAAGCACAGAAAATGAAAATGACCTAGGGAAGACTGGAATTAAAATCCGATAGTAAAAACCTCAGAATTCTCACTACTGTTTCTAAGAAAAAAGAAAAAGAAAAAAAGTATGTATATCTTAAGTTTTAAAATCCTTTAGTTGATAAAAATCAAAGGGCTGCTTTGTTCCATGCCAGAGTACATGCACTGTTCTCGTGTCAAGGCACACCTCGGAAACCCAACAGTCCCATTTGCTACACGCAGACCACAGGTTACTGGGAGAATAGGGATTTCAGAATCAATGAAACTCAAAAGCAAATATCCTTTTGGAGTTCCCAAATCAATGTTCTAGAATCTGAATTATATTGGTAACCAGAGAGAAGCAAGCATTCTACTTCATTGCTCAAAGTCCTAATATTTCCCTTGTGGGTTCAATTCTCTGTTTCAATTAACTAAAGGAGGAAGAAAAACATGTTGAAGTCTTAGACTCTTCGAGTGTCCCCCTTTTTCATTGTCTGAATAGCAAAGTGAAAGTGAAAGTCGCTCTGTCTGACTCTTTGCCACCCCATGGTTTGTACAGTCCATGGAATTCTCCAGGGCAGAATACTGGAGTGGGTAGCCTTTCCCTTCTCCAGGGGATCTTTCCAACCCAAACTACTATATCATTCAGGACAATAGATTTTGCATATATTATCAGATAAACCTAAATCATTCTTGTGACTAAATTTAGATTATTGACTAAGTGATATATGGGGGGAAAATTTTAATTGATTTTGGTACCAATACTGGGAAAGATGGAGGGCAGAAGGAGAAGAGGGCATGAGAGGATGAGATGGCTAGATGGCATCACTGATGAAATGGACATGAGCTTGGACAACTTCGGGAGATGGTGCGGGAGGTACCAGGAGGCTTGGCATGCTGCAGTCCACGGGGTCACAAAGAGTTAGACATGACTGGGAGACTGAACAAAAACAACTAATACTCAAGAAGAAAAATGCTTCTACCTTTTCAGTAAAACTACAACAAACTTTTTTGATAAAAATGGAGGCATGGTTAAAGTTTGAAAATAAAAGTTTGAAGCCTCCCTTACATTGAAAAACAAAAGATGACAGAGCCACAATTCTATGAATTGGTGTAACAACTCATTGTTTTAAGGCTTTGTTTCTTAGAGCAGTTTTAGGTTCACATCAAAAGTGAGCAGGAAATTCAGAGTTCCAAGGTACTCCAAACCCTGCCACATGCATGACCTTTCTCACCCATCCCCCTCCAGAGTGCTACCTTCATTGCAATCAATGAACCTATACTGACACATGAGTATCACCCAAAGTTTACATTAGAACTTGCTCTTGGTATTATATATTCTATGGGTTTTGACAAATGGATCCAGCACTATAGTGTCATACAAAATACTTTCACTGTACTAAAAATCTTCTGTGCTCTATCTATTCATCCCTCCCATTCTTCATCCCTCAGACAACCACTGATCTTTTTATTGTCTTATAGTTTTGCCTTGTCCAGAATGTCATGTAGTTGGACTCATATAATAGTAGCCTTTTCACACTGACATCTTCCACTTAGCAATATGCATCTATGTATGTTCCTTTCACATTCTTTCACGACTCGATAGCTCATTTCGTTATAGTGTTGAATAATATTCCATTATCTGGATGTATTATGCCACAGTTTATTTATTCATTCACCTATTGAAAGACATCTTGGTCATCTCCAAAGTCAACAATTCATTTTTAATCTCCACTTTTAAAAAGTAGTTATCTTAGATCAACTGTTTTCTTTATTTCCTCATTGAATTTCTGAGGCAACCCAGCCATACTCTTAACAGATGTGTGAATTCCCAATGACAAACAAGGCTGCATGATTGGCTTTGCTTGCTTCCTGTAAAAAGTAACTCACTATTTTCATAAGGCAGCCCATTTTGTTACAAGATGTCCTTAATTATTATTAAACAGTTCTTCCTAATGGCTGACTTGTCTGCATCTCTCAAAATAGTCTTTGTTCCTTTCCATGTATATTTCTGAATGTATTTTTGATCAAAATCTCAATATTTTTTCTATTGTTTAAAGGGAAAAAACAGAATTGTGTTTTATTTTTTTATCCGCTTTTGCAATTTATTTTCTTAAAATATTCACAACAATCACAGATTTTCAGACATCTAACGTGAACTCTGACACACTTTTTTTTCTCCTAGATAAGCACTGCTAACCCTTGAAGCTTCCTCTCACAACATCATTTTGAGTCTCCCACATCATTCTGGCCATCCTCTAAACATGCTTCTTTTTTATAAATATATTTTTTCTCCAGACTTGGGCACAATCTTCCATGAGTAATTGGGGGAATGCCGAGGAGAGGGAAACAATTATCTCTCGTGTGAAGAATATGCATTCCAATTACTGCAGTTGGAGACTGCATCAGCTTTTCTGCCACACTATTCTGAGACCACATTAAACCTACGGTTAATTAAAACTCACTCCCTTTCCATCTGCTCAACGGTACCACCTCACTTCTTTGTCATATTCTCCATCCTAAATTTTGTCCTGTTACTTTTAGACCTGTTTTATTAATCTGAAAAGATAACTTTGAAAACTTTATCTACTATCCAAAGTATCAGCCCTCTCACTTTGTTTTATGGTACTTGTGGTTTTGATCAATTGCCTTTAATTCATTCATCCACTCATTCATTCATTTAGCCAGTACTAAGTGTCAATTCGGAGAAGGCAATGGCACCCACTCCAGTACTCTTGCCTGGAAAATTCCGTGGATGGAGGAGCCTGGTAGGCTGCAGTCCATGGGGTCGCTATGAGTCGGAGACGATTGAGCAACTTTACTTTCACTTTTCATTTTCATGTATCAGAGAAGGAAATGGCAACCGACTCCAGTGTTCTTGCCTGGAGAATCCGAGGGATGGGGGAGCCTGGTGGGCTGCCGTCTATGGGGTTGCACAGAGTCGGACACGACTGAAGCGACTCAGCAGCAGCAGCAGCAGCAAGAGTCAATTATGGTGTCAGGTTCTGGGGCTACATGACATACATAAGTCTCTGTTCTTAGGAAACATGGTGTAGTGCGAATAGCAGATGATACCTGATCATACTAATACATGTGTAGTTACAAACTGATGTAACTGTTCTGAAATTTTTAAGATGAAATTGTATTAGTGATTAAAACAAAGTAACCTAGTATGGATATAATCAGGGAAGTGGTAATGAAAGGCTTTCCTAGAGAAATGATGGTTAAGCTAAGACCAAAAGGACAAGTAGAGGTTAATTAGACAAAGGTGTAGGGGTGGAAGGTATTTTAAACAGGGAAGTCCTGGAGGAGAAGGAAGCATATCATTATTCAGGGATCAAACCGAGGCTGGAGTGATCTGGAATACAGAGTGATGGTCTGGTCACAGGAGAATCATGCCACAGACATACGCAGGACCAGGCCCTGTAAAGTCTCTGTAGGACGGGTTGATGATTTGGCTGCACTCTATGCTGTGCTATGCTTAGTTGCCCAGTCATGTCCAACTCTTTGTGACCTCATGGGCTGCATCCCATCAGGTTCCTCTGTCCATGGAACTCTCCAGGCAAGCACACTAAAGTGGGTTGCCATGCCCTTCTCCAGAAGATCTTCCCAACTCAGGGATCCAACTCAGGTCTCCCACATTGCAGCAGATTCTTTACCATTTGAGCCACCAGGGAAGCCCAAGAATACTGGAGTGGGGAGCCTATCCCTTCTCCAGGAGATTTCCCAACCCAGGAATTGAAACTGGGTAGCCTATCCCTTCTCCAGGAGATCTTCCCAACCCAGGAATTGAAACTGGGTCTCCCGCATTGCAGGTGGATTCTTTACCAGCTGACTTTTTACCAGCTGCTATTTGTTTGTTGCTGTTACTTTTCTTGAATGCTACTTACTTCTGTACAATTTCTACACACAGTAAATAGCTAATCCATGTTTATAGGTTGTATAAGTAGCCACCTCTAAGAGATCCCTACTGAATAAGATTACTGCTTTTGCTAGCACTGAGCTCTACATAGTAGGCACAACAGTAACACCCAGTGATTATGAGACTCAGTTTCCTAGAAAGGATGCTGTGGAATCTTGTGTGTTAGGAGTTTTTATACAATGGAGAAGCCAAGCTAGGGCATGTTCCCTAATGTTTTAGGACAGCATTTTCCAAAATGTATTTCACACTACTTCGGTTGTTGTTGTTCATTCACTAAGCTGTGTCCAACTCTTTGCAACCCCATGGACTGCAGCATGTCAGGCTTCTGTGTCCTTTGCTGTCCCCTGGAGTTTGCTCCAACTCATGTCTGTTGAGTCAGTGATGTTATCTAACCATCCCCCAAGAAAAAGAAATGCAAGAAGGCAAAGTGGTTTTTTGAGGAGGCCTTACAAATAGCTGAGAAAAGAAGAGAAGTGAAAGGCAAAAGAGAAAGAGCCACTTCTGAGTTATATTCAAAAAAGTTAGTTGAAAAGGTGTCCCTTGGCCATATATGCTTCAGAATATCAGGTTATGTGTGAATTCAATTTGCAGAACTTCTCAAAGCGTTAACCTATTGGTAGGTATTTTGATTGTCCAGGAGACAATACGTCATTTGTTTAACAATACTAGCATATGACATACAACAAGCTAACAGAGGTATTCTGGTAAATGTTTAAAAGCCAGCTCTCTAAGGAAAAAGAAATCAGACACTCCAACTTGAAGTGTTTGCCAATCTCTATAATGTATAGATTCCCACATGGTTGATTTCAAGCTATCAAAGTGACATCACTGAACTTGGAGTAAGTTTGAAATGCACACCATCAGCCCTTTCCAGCCAATTCAAATTGGCTTCAGCACAGTGGGTATTAACCATTGATAAATAAGACAGCCATGGTATCTACACTTGTATAGCTTACAGTTTAATGCGGGCAACAGAAAATAAACAGATTAATAAGCCAATATAGAAATCTGAATTGTAAAGTGGATGGCCAAGGGGAAAGACAGAGCCCTATGAGATAGGGAAGCTCTGGGGACTCAGGAGGTATCACATGAGCCCCCTCCAAAGAAGACATGTTAAGAACTAGGTTATTAGAAGAAGCTTGTCAGACGGAAAGGGAGGAGAAAAGCATTTCAGGTAAGAGGAACAGCATGTGCAAAAACATTGCCCTGCAAAGAATATGGCCATTGAGCAGACTATGAAAACCACTGTGTCTGGATCAAGAGAGAAGGGAAGATGGACAGCAGACAAAGATGCGATGGTTAAGTGGGCTCCTCATGCATGACCTTGGACTTCCCAGTAGGGACTTTGGATATTAAAAGGCAAAAAGAAGCATCTGAAGCTTATTTTTGTTTTAAGAAGAAGGAAAATATCCTTAGAATTTACAAGCTCACTTTGACTGCTGTAGGGAAAAGGGCCTGAAGCATTTCCCAGTGGTAATTGACAGGGAGCCGTGCTTTGTCTCCGGCTTTCTCTTGGAGGACTCTTAAAGTGCATTTTGGAAAATGTTAAACTGGGAGTTTTAAAGACATCTTTAATTTTTTGTTGTTCAGTTGCTCAGTTGTGTCCGACTCTGCGATCCCATGGACTGCAGCAAGCCAGGCTTCCCNCTCAAGCTTTCCCAAAGGCTCAGTACAATCCCTACTACTTCTACATATGATAAAAATGAAAGCAGCTTTAAAAAATGTGAATAGAAAAACCTAGAGACACTGTGAGTTCCAAGTCAGATGACACTGGCTGTTGATGGTTACATCTAAAGCTTTGTTGTTGTCAAAAAAACAGATGAAGCTGGTTCCATGCAGCAGGACGTTCTGAGACAATGGAAAGTTCTGTCTTTTCTCTGTGCAGCATCATTGTTACTAGCCACATGTATCTCCTAAGCTCTTGAAATGTGGTAATGTGATTGAGGCACTGAATAAACTTAAATTTTAATATAAACTTTGAAATTTTATGTAGCTTTAATTCATTTAAATTAAATTTAAATAGCCACACATTGTTTTGGCTACTGCAAAAGATGCTGCCATTCTAGAAGATATTAATGGTAAAGCAAAAAGTGGTGACATCTCACTTTTTATGGCTAAATGAAACCCCTGCCCCCAAATAAAGTCAGTCCCACAGGAGAGTGGCATTGCAAAGGTCACTGCAATTTAAACTTTGATTGCTATTTTCTACACCCTCCCCCACATCTTTTCCTGTTTAAAGCCATATATACACAGGAGAACTTATTAATATCTCTAAATAATAGATCAGTGTTATTTATTACTTGTACTTGTGTGCTCATTTTCTCCTAAAAATATCACCACATTTTAGACATAAAGCTTTCCTCTTTGATGGAAGACAAAAGTTGGAAGGCAACAGAGAACAGAATTGCCTTGTGACTTTGTTTTGTCAATATGTAGCTGCAACTGATGGACTCAGCAACTGTTACCTGCACTCCTATTTTTCATGTCAGTACTCAGAGTTCCTTTAAATCTGCTTTAAGCTCCCTAAGCCCTTTTAAATTACATCATACCAAGTCAATACCCAGGATAAATGGCTGGGAATATATAGTCCATTAGAAATTCCCTACTGACCTTTTATTACAAGGTGTTTCTCAAAACATTCTGTTATTTGGTGAGATAAATCTTTCTTATTGATTTCGCTCTTTAGCACCCCAATCATGAAGAACTGAACTTATAAATGGTCCAAGGCAAGAGGTTACAATTTGCTTGTTCAAATGATGCTACCTGTCATTATCTATTGCTTTCCTTCATTTCTTCATTTCTGTCCTTGCCTCCTTCCTTATCTGTTCAACAAATTTGAACAGATTTGATGCGCTCCTGAGAGCATCTTATGTGCCTGAAACAGCAGCAGGGACTGGGGATACAATCAGTTAAGACAGAGAGGTCTCTATCTACATTCACGGAGCGACGGAACACTACCAGACACAGGATGGCGTGCTGGGCAGCGTGGGGACGCCAACAGACAGGTGTGGGAAAAAGATGAACGTATGTGTCTGAAAAAAGAAAAGAGGAATAAAGAGATGGGCTTGGAGAACCGGCACATGGTGCTCAAATTTCATCCAGAAATTTTGCCTTTGTAACAAGGAAAAGAAAACTACTTCCCAGAATTATCTTTAAGGTCCACAGAAAGAACTATTTGAAAGTTATTGAAAATAGCATCAAGGCAAATCTTACTTCATCACCACATAAAGCAGTTATCCTAGAAGAGAATGGTAGAACAGACAAAATCTCTTTTAAGAGGTTTATGGTTTAAGGTTGATATGTGGACCATTAAACCATCCCTAATCTCATGCTGACCAGATAGTCTAAAATCCTTAACCAGGCATTCAAGACTCTCCAAAATTTAGCTCTTATCTTTCCAAAGTTGCACCTCTCTACCCTTCTCAGGAGCCTTTAGTTACAGCCAGATGGGCCTATTCACTGTGTCCTGAAATGTTTGAGGATTTCTTGGTTTTCTTCCCAGATTCTTAGCAATTCTTCAAAGCCTAATTTATGCCATCTCCTCTATATAGCTCTACCTGATCACCCCAGTTTCTAAAGAATGATCTCTTTCTCCTCAAAACTGGTAAGGTACCTTGTGAATACGATAAATTTTTGACAGTGATAATTTATTACGTTGCAGATAGCAAATTTAACAGGTATGTATGTTGAAGTCATAAGAGCAATGTGCCTCAGAGCCTACTTGTCATTAGTAACACATTTGCCTATACGTTTATAGTGTATAAAGCATTTTGACAAACCTTACCTCATTAAAAGTAAGCCTCACTATAATCCAGTTAGGTTAGTTTTCTTCAACAGTGTGTAGAGGTGGATCCAGAGGCCCAAAAAAGGAAGCCAATTCATCTGAGGTTGCGCGGTGAGTAAGATGATGCGTTAGTCACTCAGTCATGCCTGACTCTTTGAGACCCCATGGACTGTGGCCCGCCAGGCTCCTCTCTGCATAGCTGTGTTTAAAATGAGGACTTTTCACTCTAAGTCAAACGCTCTTTCTAGTAACAGTGAAGAGTTTTTAAACCTAGGACTCTTGGTAAATATGCCTCTGTGTGCTCCAGATAGTTTTGGTCACGTAGTAGGTATTTTATGGGTACATATGGAAAAACTGATTTATTTCTGATTAATGAATAAAATGAGAGAGGTCTCTTTCAAAATCAGCTTCTTCAGTACCACAAAAGAAGTGGGCATGGGGATTCATCTTTGCTAGTACCATCCAGGGTAATTTTTGAATTTAAAAAACAACTACAGAAAGAATTGCCTGTGATTTCAACTGTGGCTGCTCCAAATACTTCTGAGTCACCTAATCTTTAGATCTGCTTTGTCCTAATGGTTTCAGGACAAACTATCCAATCCTTTATGATTTAACAGCTCCTTCATAAATGGAAACAGGTCAGAACCAACTATTAATACCCAGGCAGATTCAGAAACCACCCAGATGGGTAATTTCAATGTTAATACAAAATATTTAAAAGAGCTACAGAATGTCACATAGAGGA